CTACTTCCATAGTGATACTGCCTCAGAAACCCAAGGAGGGGTCACTATGAGTCGGGTCCAACTCGACGGCACATAACAACAACAACAACAACAACATCACTATGGAAGTAGACTGCCCCATCTTCCTTCCAAGGAGTGGCTGGTGGGGTTGAACCGCCAGCCTTCTGGTTAGCAGTCAAGTGCCTTAGGCACTATGCTACACTGCAATGACAGCTCTACTCTGTCACATGCGGTTGCTATGAGTCAAAATCAACTCAGCAGTACCTAACAACAAAACTCTACTTGTCTTTCTCCAGAAATTCTCCATATTGCAGTCAATGTAGATATGATCGTTCAAGCTCTACTTAAAACCTTTCAAAATTTTTCCATGAATCTTATGATAATCTCCTAACATGGCCTATGATCTGTGTAATTTGCTCCTACCTTTTCTCTAAATTCATCTAGAATCCTGCTTCCCCAGTGAGCTACCCTCAGTTCCTCATCTCACTATGGTTCTTTTTGCTTTGAAGGATCTCTGAACATGCTTCTCCCTCTCTCTGAAATAGTCTTCCTTCCTTTTTCGATCAGTTAACTTATCTTCAAATAGAAGCTTAAGGGTCACTTTCTAAAGGAAACCTTCCCCTGCTTTTCCTGACCAGATCATATCCTCATATCACATGCTATCACAGAATCTTGTGCATATCCCTGGTAGAGTTGTCACAGTTGCAATTTTACATTTTTCTGCACAGTCATTTGGTTAATGCTGATCTTCTCCACTAAGCAAATTTCACAAGAACAGTAACTGTGCCTACTCTGTATTCCCAGTGGCTGTCATATCTTAAATGTTCAATTAGTGTATGTTAGATTAATGAATAAATGAAAAGAAATGCATAAATACCTGACTTTCTTGAAATTATTGTGGTTTACCCCTTTCCAGAAGGCTTAGACTTGTATTCTTTGTATGCACTTTATATAAAAGGCATACAACAATGTCTGTATGTTGATAACAATATTATTATTATTAATACTATAAATATGTTAGAGCTCTGGTGGCATAGTGCCTAAGGCATTTAATCAGAAGGCTGCTAATCAGAAGGCTGGTGGTTCAAATCCATCAGCCATTCCTTGGAAGGAAGGCTGGGCAATCTACTTCCGTAGTGATACTGCCTTGGAAACCCAAGGAGGGGTTGCTATGAGTCGGATCCGACTCCATGGCAGTAACTTTGGTGGTTTTTTTTTGGTAAACATGTTACTAGAAAGATTAGCCGCTCTTATTATTATTACTGAATTCATTCCTTGCCTCAGAAATTGTTTTCTGGTTACCTTTATATCTATTCCCAATCACTCTGTCCTTTCTATAATTCCATTATAGAAGCTGGACAAAAATAAATTATTTTTATTATTATTAAATTTTATGTGATTTGGGTGAATGTTTACAGAGCAAATTCATCTTCCATACAGCAGTTCACATACACTTTGTCTCATGACATTGACTGTAATCTCCCACAATGCAACAGCTCTCCTCTCACTTCCTCCCAGAGCCACCTCTTCCTATGTCCTTCCCTTCCATGCACTCCTGCCCTGCAAAGCTGTCACCTTTGCCCTGCAAAGCTGTGTATATACAGCCCTTCTGTTCTCCCATGACTGATCTCTCCAAGGAGTGTATCTACCTAATGCAAATGTTCAGCTCAGATGCCTATCTTTTGTTTGGCTGGAAGCCAAGGAGTGGGTTCAATTCCAGACCTGAAGGGCAGCCAGTGACATAGTCTCAGGGGTTCCACAGGCTCTATCAGACCAGCAAATTTGGTCTCTTTTTTTTTTGTTTTATTATTATGAGTTTTGTTTCACATTGTTCTCCTACTCTATCCAGGATTTCCTACATCGATCCCCCTCTGAGGAGTTGAGAGTGGTAGCCAAGCACCATCTAGTTCTGGTCTCATAATTGTACAGGTTGAGGATCGTATGGTGTACCAGTCCCTTAGACGGTTTCCATTCATCTTTGTTTTTCTTCATTCTTCTTTGCTCTAGACAAGGAGAGACCCATCATTGCATCTAGATGGCCATTTGCAAGCTTTTAAGATCCCAGTGCTACTTGCCAAAAGTAGGATGTGGAACATTGCAAAACTAAATTCTTATTTTCTGTTTCCCTTTCAAGTAGGACTAGCCATGAGACCAGTTCTGACCACTAAGATATAAACAGTTTTCTGTGAGGCTTCTGAAAAGCCATATTCCTTTAACTAACTAACTAACTAACTAAATGGAAAACTGTAGCAGTCACTTCCCCCATTTTCCTCATGTAATATGACTGTAATGTCTGGAGTTGTAGCAACCATCTTAGAACTATGAGGGAAAGCCCAATGATACAACAGAGCTAATAAAATATCAGAACCAGTCACCTATCTCAAGACTTTCTGTTATAGTAGAAAAACAAACTCTTGTTTTATTTTCTACTACCACATTTTTAGGCAAATGATGCATGCACTGTATGTTTTTTTTGTTTTGTTTTGTTTTTTTGCCAACTGCACAACCCCCTTGTGCATTATTTCCTAGAGCACACTATGTGCATTATATATGCAGATGCATTATTTACATGGGTACATTATTTGTGGAAAAAATATAGAATTTTATATGTAGTACAGTGAATTACTTAGTATGGCTTTTCTAGCCATAGTCTTTGTAACTCCCACTGGATTACTGGGTGGGATCATGCAAATAAAGTGTGTAGAACGCTGAGTTGGAATTGGTTAGTTTTGTCACTCTGCCAGGCTTAAAGTGAGCCTTCCTAGAGGCAGAAGAGAGAGAAATGCCATCAAGAGAGAACAGATGGAGGTAAAGTAGAGCCTGTCCTTGGACCTGAGATCCCTGTGCTGGACCCCCTTGGCTGAGAAATGCCTGGCTGAGAGGGAGATGCCCAGCTGAGAGACAGTGGCAGTGGAACCAAGAGGCAGGAGATGGAGCGGTAGGCTTTCTGGCCCATGGAGAGAGAAAGCTGTGTGCTCTTGGGCAGGTTTGTTGGCAGAGTGGGGTACACCTAGGTGTACCTATCGGCAGAGCTAAAAGAGCTTTATAACATTTGCCAAAGCAGGGTAGAGGCCAGACTGAGAGGTCAAGGACCAGAGAGCTGTGCCTTAGGTCATAGCAGAAGGGAGACTGTCTGATCAAAGAACTGCATCCTGAGAGCATTCCTGAACCTAAATTATAGCTGTTATTTCCCTAATAAACCCCATAATCATGAGTATTGTCATGAGCTGTGTGTGACCACTGCAACGCCATGGGAGGGATGGCTGGTGTCAGAGCTGGTGGGAGGGTGGTAGCATGTCTTGCCTCCTAGGAATAAGCTTTGGGCTGCTAATGATGATTCTGTTTTTCCCTCCATGCCCTTTTAGCAATATATAAAAACTAATATGGCATTTGTACACAAATTCCTAACTGATACTCTGCTCAGTAACAAGATTCTCTTTCAAACAAATCATTTTACATTGCTCAAGATGGTTTTTGTTCTCTTTCTTTTTCCTGTTTCTTTTCCCTTTATGAAATTTCTTTGTCACTCTCCTTAATTATTTAACCAAAATAAAGTATATTTACATTTACTAGTATATTTATCTTATAAAATAGAAAATTAATTATAATTTTTTAAAAAACGTAAAGATTCTTTAAATTTCTTATATCCTTATAGTCTTACAAATATATGGAGAACAACATCTGTTTGGCAATAGAGCATCAAGAGGATTTCAGGTTGTTTTGTTTTGTTCACTATCAGATGAAAAATCAAGGTTTACAAGTGATCTTAATGTCTACTAACATACACTGATATTTTTTATCAATGTTAGCATGTGATAAATCCTGATGTGATTCTAGAGTCAAATATTATATAATTATGAAACTGGATAATGTATCAGACACTCTGCATACATAATTTGACTACACAAATATGTTGTTGCTGTTGTTGTCATGTGCCGTCGAGTCGGCCCCGACTCATAGGGACCCCTCCTTGGGTTTCTGAGGCAGCATCACTACGGAAGTAGGATTGCCCAACCTTCCTTCTGAGGAGTGGCTGGTGGGTTTGAACCGCCAGCCTTCTGGTTAGCAGTCAAGTGCTTTAGCCACTATGCTACCAGAGCTCCTACACAAATATAGGCTCTATTTATTTTTCAAAATGTGTACATTCAAGAGGTATAAGTAATACATTAAACTCACTGTCATGAATCTATTCCAACTCATAGCAACTCCCATTGGGTTTGCAAGGCACTAAATCTTTGTGGAAGTAGACTGCCCCATCTTTCTTCTGTGGAGTGGCTGGTGGGTTTGAACTGCCAACCTTCTGGTTAGCAGTCAAATGCCATACGCACTGCGTCACCAGAGCTCTTTAGTAATACATTACAAACTGATCAATCTGAAAGCTTCAAATAGATTAAACTGTGAATTCCAGTTAGCGAGACCTGGATATTTCACCCATATTCCTGGTATGGCAGAAAATATAGGTTTAAATATTGAGGCTCAGAATCTAGAACTATATTACATATAATGGTCTGGAGTTTAAAAAAATAAATAAACACAGCTGTATTAAATTTTCTCACCCAGTCCCTTTTCCAGTCTGGCCTCAGTTCCTTCCCTATAAAGTGGGCATGGTGGACTAGTTTTCAGACTACGCTCTTGCAGGGCCTAGCAGCCAAGTCTCTAAGCCTTCCACCTCTGATTCAGGCAAAGCAGCTCAGGCAAATTTATTTCTTTAAATATTTATGGTCCACACAAGGTTTTGTTTAAAGTAAAAACTCAGTAAATCAGTATTACTGGAAAACAACTGAACTAGATGATCATCCAGATCCCTTCAAGCATTAATATCCATGATGAAGTGATTCCTTTAAGCTCCTATGCTTCAAACATTTTAAGAGCATATTTATTCATCTAAATATATACATTAAAAGAAAATTCATGTAACAATGTAGACTTGATTTATTTTCAGAAATACACATTCAGATGGAACTAATACTTTTACCTTGTGAAAATGCCATCCACAATCCCAATTGTCACTTCCTCTGCAGGAACATAGGAGCCAATCTGAGCCATGACAGTAATCAACGCAACTTGTTTTATGTAGGAGCTTTTTCCCCCCATGTTTGGTCCGGTAATTATCATTACTCTCTCTGAGTCCTCCTGGAAAATTAAATAGCAATTTCACATATTGTACCACAGGGAGCTTGATGTAATATCTATACTTTATCCCATAAATGAGAAAGCATTAGGCAAAAGATTGCCTTGTGGCATATTTAAATATGCCACCAATAAGTATCACAAAGGAGAAGACGGTCTCTTTGTCTTATACTTGAAAATTGCCATTGCAGAAAAGTGAATTCTTAGCAGCACACAGCTGTTTCTGGATAAAGAAATGAAATAAGAAGTAACCTGCACTGGATAAATATCAGAGCTTTCTCATTAAATATTTATTAATTGCCTGTGTGTGTATGTGTGTGTATGTAATACTGCTAACATTTAGAATCCATCAATTTTCATTGTCGATGTTAACACTTGGTGCTGTTTAGGTGCTAATGAATTAATTTTGACTCACAAAATTTTGACTCACAGTGGCTTCATGTAGAAGGGAACTATGCTCTATGGGGTTTTTTAGGTTGTAACACCTGGAGCAGATCACCAGGTATTTCTCCTGTGGAGCTGCAGGATGAGTTCAAACCACCAACCTTTGGGTTAGCAACTGAGCACTTAACTGTTGTGCCCCCAGGGCTCCTTCTCAGGTATTTTATATTTAATTATTCATGCTCTTATTTTAGGTTGGCAGCACACGAATTTTTTGAGTCATAGATGGGTGACCACTGAAAGAGATTTATAATACCAAATTCAGGATATCAGTTTTATTACCATTTAATTATTCTCGGGCATTTCACCAGAACATGGGAATGAAGCAGAAAAGCTGAAGTTCTTGTGATGACAGTGTATTAATCAGTTTTAGTACTTGCCATGGACAGAGCCCTTCTAAGGTAATTGTCCAACTACAGTCCCCTACAGAGGGATTACCCAAGGCATCCCTGTTGTGTGCTATGTGAACCAGTATCCTTGGCAAAACCTGCCTGGCCAAGAGTAGCCAATCTATAACTGACCAATATCCTCCAAGGTGGCCTAGAATAAAAAGCTCTTTTCAAACTAGACCAATAAAATATCTCCTGGAGGGGCTTACATTGAGAATCATAGAGAGCTTCAATCACGTGGTGATGGAGCAAAAGCTGAAAAGAGACCCAGAATAGAGCCAAAAGGTACTGGAGGCCATGAGTAAGATGTTACAAGGAAATAAAAAGTGGGAAGAAAAGTTGCACAGAGAAAAGAATAAAAAGAGTGGAATAAAAAGAATAAAAAGAGTTAGAAATGAAGAGGAAGAAAAGAGGGAGAAGAGCCAACAGCACAGTTGAGAGACTTCACGCAAATAATGGGGTATCAGGGTAAAGAGCTGTAAAGCCTTACTATTTAGGGGATAAAAAGAAAACCTGTCCCATCTCTAAAGCTGTTTCATATCCTAATCAACCGTACAGGACATTACCAGTTTCCCCAAAGCCCAGCTATTTCCATTACTCAAAGGAACTTGAGGGAATCTGTTCCTTGCAACAGAAAAAGGCTAACAGAGTAATAGCAGCAAAAGAAGTTCGTTATAAGGAGAATGATGACACTAATGATTAAAATAAAATGAGTTCTCCTAAAAAGATTTAAAAAATAATATAATATGTATTATAAACCACCAAATATTTGGCATAACCAAATATTTTTAAAATTTAAATAAAATTCCTTTAAAATGGCAAAAATGACACAATATAAAATCTGAAAAACCCTGTATCTATGAAATAAATTACATCTACAATTAAAAACCTTCCCATAAGAAAAACTCTAAGCTTAGATAACTTCCCCACTGTGTTCTTGCAAACATTTAAAAAAGAAAACACACCAATCTTATAAAAACTCATGTAGTGAATAGAAGACAAATGCAATATTGATACCAAAACCTGGCAAGAGTTATTAGAAAGAAAAATTATAGACCAGTCTCACCCATGAGCATACATACAAAACTCCTTAACAAATACTGACAAACCAATCCAAGGATATATATGCCATTCAGGACTTTTGAGGAATATAAGGTTGGTTTAATATTCAAAAGCCAAATAATATAATTCACTACACTAACAGAATAAAGAAGTAAAATCATAGAGTGACCTCAAATGACTCAGAGAAAATGTGATAAAATTTAACATCTATCGTGGGGGGAGGGAGGGGCAGGAAAAGGAAATAAAAAGTATATGGATTGGAGAGAAAATAATGACAAGGTCATTATTCATAATGTCATAATTATATTCCCAGAAATTCTAATAAAATCTATTTAAAGTTATTACAATCCATAAATAACTTTAGCAAACACTCAAGCTAGAAGTTCAATATTCAGAAGTTAACCTTAGTTCTGTAAGTAACTAGAAAATACAAACTTTTAAATAGTACTATTTACTATAACCAAATCAAAACCAAACTTACTGCCATTGAGTCAGATCTGACTCATAGAAACCCCTCCTTGGGTTTCTGAGGCGGTATCACTACAGAAGTAGATTGCCTAATCTTCCTTCTGAGGAGCAGCTGGTGGGTTTGAAATGCCAGCCTCTGGTTAGCAGTCAAATACCTTAGGCACTACATCACCAGAAAGAATAAAAAAAAAAAAAAAAATCTAACAAAATGAACAAGATTTTTACACAGAAAACTGCAAAACACTACCTAAAAAGACTTAAATAAGAGAATGTACCATGCTCATGGACCTTTATATTAACCTACAACATTGCAACACTACAATTAAAGTTAATTAGTGTGATTTTAGTGCAAGGAAATATCAATAGAGAGTGGAACAGAATAGAATCCAGAAACAGAATGACATTTATATAATCACTTGATTTATGACAAAGATGGCATTGCAGTGTAGAAGGCTGGTGGTTCAAACCCAACAGCCACTCCACGGAAGGAAGATTAGGCAATCTACTTCCATAGTGATACTGCCTCGGAAACCCAAGGAGGTGTTGCTGTGAGTTGGATCACACTCGATGGCAGTGATTTTTTTGGGTGATTGAAGAAAAGACAGTCTTTTAATAATTGGTACAGAATGAAAAGGCTATCCATATAGGAAAAAATGATATTTAGTTATGATATTTCAACAATGTTTAATTAGCTGGGAAATAGATCTCTCCTGACACAATATATCTTGAACGACTGACAGACAAAATGATCCTAAGAAAATATCTTTAATCACACAAAAGGTAACTATCAAAAATCTATAGTAAACACTAGTGTTAATGGTGAAATGTTAGAAGCATTCTCTTTGGATCAGTCAAGGCAGTATGCTCACTATTACTGCTCTCACTCAACACTCTCCTGGAGGTGCCAGTCAGGACAGAACTACAAACAAATAAAAACTTTCAGGATCAGAAAGGACAAAATAAACCTGCCATTTTTACACAGATCACATTATGGTGTACAAAATTACCTCCCCCAAAATCCATAGACAAATTATAATAGTAAAATCTGTGAATATCAGAACTTGTGTAAGGCAGAAACCTGTCAGAAAAGGAAAACTCAAGTATTTCCCACTAAAATGAGTGATGCTGTTGTTGTTAGGTGCTACCAAGTCGTCTCCGACTCACAGAAACCTTATGTACAAAAAAATGAAACACTGCCTGGTGCTGTGCCATCCACATGATCCCTGCTATACCTGAGCCCACCATAAAATGACTGGTAGAAAAGTGGTAAGACTGCACCTTTACAAAGATGGAAAACTTGCAGCACCCAGGAAAATAAGGCAGTTCCGTTGAGTTCCAGCTATCACAAGTTTCATTGTATTGTAATTAATGAGAGTCTAGCAAGGTAGCCAGATTTAACATCAAGATGCAAAATCAACTGCATCTTTATTCAAGAACAACAAATAACAGGAAAATACAACTGTACAATAATATGACCTATAATACCGAGAAAGGGTGTTATTGCTGTTAGGTGCCATCGAGTTGTCACCAACTCACAGCCACCCTATGCACAGCAGAATGAAACACTGCTCTGTCCCGCGCCAGCTCCATGATCCTTGCTATACTTGAGCACATCACTGCAGCCACTGTGCCAATCCTTCCCATTGAGGGCCTTCTCTTTCATCCACCCTCCACCTTACCAAGCATGACATCCTTCTCCAGGGAATGGTCCCTTCTGACTGACACATGACCAAAGTACCAAAAAAACAAAACAAAACTCATTGCCATGGAGTTGGATCCAACTCATAGTGATCCCTTCTTGGGTTTCCGAGGCAGTATCACTACGAAAGTAGATTGCCCAACCTTCCTTCTGAGGAGTGGCTGGTGGGTTTGAACTGCCAGCCTTCTGGTTAGCGTTCAAATGCCTTAGGCACTA